TTACTTAAATAATACACCAAAGAATATAGACTAATAACATGCAAGAAATAGACAAATTCACTTACTACTTTCTAACTATGAGACAAGAGCCCTTAGAAATTCATCCAAGCTGATTGTTAACTTTCTCACTGGAATGATGTTGCTATTCAGAGTGACATTGATGGTTATCTGTTTAGAACACAATGTTATACAATATGCCATTTGATAGATGAAAACTGTGACTTTCTATTGGTTATAGGTAATATATAATGAAACGTAAGAGAGAACTATCAACCAATTGTGAAAGAGAGGATGTGACAGGTGGGTGTGGCAGGAGGGGTCTGATTTTCTCCTTGATAGCTCTGTAACCAAACAATAATGAAGGCTATAAAAATTATGGTCTGTTTGAGCAATAATGATTTTATAGAGAGCATTTTACGTTTAATTTCGTACATTTTTGAAGGGTGATGGATAAAATAGAGATGATGACATGCTAAGACAAAATGTGTCGTGTGTGTTACACTAGTGGAAATTTAGCATTTTTTTTATATCTTTTCTTTTAGAGTTAAGAGCTTGAACTTGTATACTATTAAAATATGGATTATTAGCTAAGATTTTATGCTATTTTAATTGGTATAATGTAAACAAAAATTAGTTTAATAAAATTTTGAATGTAAGACACTAAAACCTTGTGTATGCACAGTAAAGGGTACTCGGGCCGATAGGGTTAATGCCTTGAAAGTTTCAGAATTGTTGAGTTGGAAAGAGTGGTCCACGAAAATGTGGTGGAATGTGGATTGGGAAGTATACAGATTTAAATCCTGCTGAAAATGTTGGAGCTTTTGTTCAACAATGCACAGAAGAAATGTTGGAAACTTTGTCTTAATGCGAGAGACACAAACATGAAACCTTGATTCATGTTCTCACTGATGTGCTCACAGAGACAGCCACAAAAATAAACATGTTTCTTGCATTGCTGAAATTTTTTGCAAATCGATTAAAACTCGTGCATGAAAACAGTGGTGGCCAAATCAAGCGATATTGATACTTGGAATTACTTTTTGATTGAATTAAAATCTTTATTTTGCAACACCCCTTACAACTCGTATTCAGAAACAAAACTTTAGATTATTTTAGGCCAATCTTGTTCTAAAAATTATATTGGTCAATTAGAACAGTTTTTTAAGGGTAGCAGGTGATCCATCTGAACACTTAGTTATTTTTGCATGTTTTATATTTAGTTTATTAAGGCAGAATAAAAACTAATTTTAATCATGAAGTTATATTTTTTTAATTGAACAATCATCTATATTACAGATAAATAATGGTTAACAGTACAGAATGCTGAAATGTACACTTTCTGTCCAGTTTCATAGATAAACTAAATTTTCACAGTTAGAGATATGGGTCTGAACTAATTAGTATATTACAAAAGTGTTTTTATTCTGCATTTAATAGTATACATTTTTTAAATTACAAACTACATTAGTAATGGGTGCTATTGTCTTGATTGGTCTGTTTAAGGATATTTTCAGATCAACAGAAGAGGTGAGAAAATCGTTTTTCAAAAAATTTGAACAAGCTTAAAATTTGAGGAGAATCAGAAGCTCCAAATTCTTTTGGTTTGAAATTATCTCCAGTTTACCAATCATCAGCTTTTTCAAATCCATAGTTGATGCTTGTTTCAGCTCTCTTAATTATTAAAGAGTTGTTATTTGTGATTACAGCATTGTGTTTTGTTGACACATCTTGTGCAGTGTTTGATGAATTACTGGGTTTTCTAGGAATGTGTTTGTATAGGTATACAACTCATCTAGAGATGTAACCTACGTATTCCTATGTACTGCAAGGAAATGAACATTTATCTTTCACAAACAACACTTTATTCTCAGGAATGACACCCTTAAAATGAAAGAAATTTCTTAATGTTAAAGCTGATTTAAATAAACATGATTTGAATCTAAGGATAACTTTTGCCTAGGATAAAAAACTAACTTATTGTGAATATAATCTTGCATACTACTGCTACAAATTTCGTTTTGGTTTTTGAGCACATATACCTTTTAATACTTTGAAGATAGTCAGCATGCTAAATATTTATCATATTAATATTGGTAAAACAGCCATTAAATGTATTAAGGTTAAAAACTTCATGTTACAACTTATTTCTTAATGTAACATAGAAAAACTGCCTACAATTCTGAAACTGTTATTTACAAAAGCTTTAACTAAATTCATGTTAGAGCTGGTGGGTCAAAATTGTAATGTGAACATACAGCTCAGAAAAAGTTGATATATGATGTACTTCAATTTCAAAATTACCTTGCTGATTATCATAGAGCTGGTAGACTTTATATGTAGGGATGGCCTAGGTACTCAGTAGGCATAATACAAATATGCATGCTAAAAAATCAACAGTGACAGAGTTTTACTTTAAAAGATGATTGTCACTCAATTTCATTTGTTTTTATACGTAACAAATCCCAAAACAAGGCAAGAAACTATTGCTAAGATACCAAATCAGAAAGTGAAAAACCCATCGTATTGTTCATCTTTCTTCTTATTGTTTCAGTCAGAATAACTCTACAACTACTTTATCATTAATGTCAGCTTAAATCTAAATCCACTCAATGTGTTTCTGGACAGTGCACAATTTCATCACTTAGTCATAGTAACTAGTAGTAATTAAAAGAAAAAAATCATAATTCTAATGTAAATGATGTCATCATTACCCCTTGAAGTTAGCTTTCTTACAGGAATCTGGTGTTCCTTTAAAAAGCTTAAGTACAGGGTGAAACCGGAATTACTAGCCAATAATAGGTGAACATTAGATGACTGTAGCATGTAGATACTCAGTGCTTTGCACACTGTACAATTGGAGTCTTAAGGGTGCCAACTCCTATATTTCATACGGAGTGAAGGAGTAAAAAAAAAAATATATACATATAATACAAAATGTTATCACACACATTCATAGAATACACTAACTTTCAATTAGGGGAAAAACATCACAAAATAAGTAACAAAATATGCTTTGTAAATATAAAATTAAGTAGGAAAAGCAATGTCAAAATGAATGAAAACAAGAATATAGGGATGATACAGCTATTCATAATCATCTCTACATGACTTTCAATATTAAAATTTAATGTTACACTGTAAAATGCATACTTGACTTTAATATTACTGCAGTTGGAAGTTATATATTCCTGACTGTTGGTATGCAGTTGTTTTATCATAATATCATGGTCATATTAGGGTAGTCATCATTGTATTGTAACTAAGAGCCTAGGACTTATGTTCAAGGAAAGCCAAGTTGAGTCAAAACATTTCTTGAATGTTACAGACTCTCGCTACAATGTTGGTCGAATTGACCCACCTCATAATCATTTTGTACTTGTGAATTTTACAAAATAACATTAAATTTTAATATTGAAAGTCATGTAGGGATGATCTGTGTATAGCTGTATCATACCTGTATTTTTGTTTGCATTCTTTTTGCCACTGCCATCCCTAAATCATTTTACATTTGCAAAATGTTTATTTCTTTTATCTAAAGTATCTAAGAAAAGTAGTCTAGATTGAATTATGTAACTGTAATTGTATGTTTTGATGTATACTGTTTAAATATTGAAATAATTTCTTAACAAGGTTCTGTGATTGAAAAATGGTGAATCTATCATCAAACTGTGACTATGAGTATCAATATTTGATACTTTTGGTCTTAGAGTGTGGTTTGCTTCAAAATTATAAACTGGTTATTCCTGTAAGATCATTAGTTTCAAATATTGGCATTTATATTTACAGTTTTTCAGATATTTAGTAAATTATTTCAGGAAAATAGAATTAATGAATTTTGCAGAATATGAAATTTCACGTAGAGTATCTGTATGCTAATATTCTACAGTAGGAAATTATTGAGTTGTATAAGAACTTTTCCTCCTTTGCCCCCTAATGGCTCAGTGGTAAGTCTGAAGGCTTATAATGATAAAAACAAAGTTTTGATACCCATGGTGGGCACAGCACAGATAGCCCATTCTGTAGCTTTTCACTTAACAACAAACAAACCTTCTGTAGTAAATTTAGTATCTAAACAGGTTTTTTGCAGTTAAGGATTATCATTTTGTGTTTAAAGGCTTAATATATGGTCAGTCTGATAGGGTCAGTATGGGATCAAACCATGTTCCATCTGTGGCTAATTTGTTCATAAGAAAAATCTCTAGTTTATTTCAAGCCACTTTTTTAAGGTGGAATGTTGATGACATATTCACCTCTGTTCAGTCACAAAACCATGTGAATGAATTCTTGCAGTATTTAAAGTGCAAACATCTAAATATAAAATTCACAAATGGGTCGAAGGAGAACCAGCAACTGCACATTCAGTAAACAAAGAATTAATAAACTTGTGTTTTAATAGTATTAGTGAGTATAAATGATTACATTTACAATATGTTTGAAAGAAATTAGTTTCTGTCATAGGCATAGTACATCCAGAGATACAGTTAAATGTGTATAATTTGAAAGCAAGAAATTTATTTTAGTTTAAGGATGTCATTCCTAAAAACAATAGTTTGGTTGCCATTTATATAGAGTTATGAGATTTTACTTTGCAAATGAACATTTACACCTTACCACTGAGTGATTTTCTATCTGTATGAAAAAACAACCAACCAAGCTGTTAAAAAACCTGTGAATTTGACAAGCATTGAATGGTACATTTACGAAAATGCAATGTTGCCATCACAAATGGATAAAAGGAGAAGCAGCAAGTGCCCATTCAATAAACTCGGTGGTTGATAGATTGAAGCCAGTTTTAAATCAACAGAATTCGGTACTTTCGCTTTTCTTTAAGTTGTAAACTTGTATAATTTTTAATAGTATAGAGGTATGTTTAATTTAGAAGCAAGTAAATTTTCTCCATTTGTGGTTTCAGAGACCAAATTGAGGTATTTATTTACTTAATATTTCTATTGAAAAACCTGTAATTTTTTCTTGTTAATATTGGATGTGACTTCTTTCAGATTGAAAATGAGGAGAATGTATTGGTATGCTTGAGGATAATTTTGGAGTTGCATAAACATTTCCGACCACAATTCAACCCAGAGGTAAGTTTGCTAAAACATGACTTATTGTCTGTTGAAAGCTCTTTACAATACAATATATCTTTAGTATGTTTATGAATATCATCTTTATAGTTCCTAATTGTTGCATATACCTTGAATATTTTTTTTGCCATGACCAGATATATTTTTCAGTTGAAGAAAAGGAAAGTTTGAATTAATGAACATTTAGTGCTTAAGTGACTATTACCAAGCAGGAAAGTTAACAAAAATAATTATTAGACAACCAAGGATAAGAGCTGAAAACAAAACCTGGCTAATATTATTGTTGGGATAGTTATTCTTCTGTATCAGTAAAAAATTTTATAAATTAAAAAAAAGTCATTTTTCATTTTAGTGTTAATATCTTTCATCTGTTGATACAACTTGTTACATGTTCTCCAATTTGAAGTTTTCTTTTTTCAAGAAAAATAGAAAGTCAGTAGTAAAGTGTTACATGCATATATTTATCCAATGGAAACTAATTTCTTATGTATTTTCCAGAAGTTTTAATAAATAAAATGAAAAAAATAAGCTGTTAAAAGAAAAATAAAACAAAAAGATGTGTTCAGTACACTTCAGATTTTGTCATTATTCGTTGTTTTAAAATGATCAAATTTAATTTAAGTAAGGGGAAAAGCAATTTCATAAATATATGGAAATTTCTCATTTCCATAAGCATAAATTCCATAAATTTCAATCTGAAATAGTCAAGTGATCCAGAAAAATTATAGAATATTGTTTTATATAAGATATCAGAAAAGTTATATACTGTTGTTTTATATAAGAGATTTGGTAAATATGGATAAAAATGAATAGAGCTGTGAAAATTAGATATATAGCTAATTCAGTTTTGTCTCTGTTTGTTAAGATAACATATATGAAAGAAAAACAATTTTATAACTCAATATCTTGTATTTTTCAGATTCAGCAGTTTTTTCAGTTTGTCAAAAATATCTACAAAGATCTACCCAACCACTTGAACAAGATATTTGAGCCAAAGCAGCAACAACGAGAGAAAGACTTGTCTGATGTAAACATTGAAAGGCTACTTTCAGAAACATTTACTACTACTAATATACAGACAGAGAAGAAGAATCCAGATGGTAGCATAGTGTCTGTAAGTATTTAATTTTTTTTCTTTTGTTTTTAATGAAAATCATGTAGGCTCTTGAGTTTTGTTTTCTTTATACTTGTTGTATTTAGTATAAAAACGTAATTTTACAAGTACTGCAACATAAACTAAGAAGAAGGTTATACTATAATTAAAATAACTGTTTGGTATTTTTAATTCCAGTGATGAATGAATTGCTTACTTTCATCAATTTTTCAAGTTAAAGACTTTCACCAGAAACCAGATCAAAGAGGATGTTCATTTACAGTGTACATTTTGTAACACTAAAATGCTTCTGAAATACACTTTCTAATGATATTTGTCTTTTTTGGTAGCTGAATGCATTAACATAAAATGAAGTTAAAGTTAAATAATCTTTAACCATATGTGGAAAGCATTAATGCATTGCACTAACACCCATTTCTGTGAAACTATACATAGCAATCTGTGAAATAATTCTGAACTTACTAAGTGTATCTTCATGAAATTTGGTAGGTTTTAGCAAAGATTACAAATATGCTGAACACAAAAATATGTCTAATTATTAAACTAGCATAATAAACCAATAAATCACCTTGATAGCATAGCTCAAGGTACAGTGAACAAAGTATCAAATTACATAATGCAAGAGCAACTTGCATGCATACCTTGCAGAGAAGTATTTGTATTTAATTTTAGCTTTCTTATCTAACCTAGTAAGTTTTTAATTTTACATTTTATTACTGTTGTTAAAAATGTATACCAGTAAATAAAAATATGCATAAAAACAAGAAACTTACCTCTTACTGTTGTTTATAGGCCTGTTTGGACTCAGTAACTAAAACTCCTTTTTCCATACTCCATTAGTTGTCCAAAAAAATATTTCATGTAGCTTTCAAGTGTGCATTTCAAAACATATTGTATATATTGTGAACCATGGTATCTGTCAGATCATTTGTTTATCACCCATTTGAAACTGTACATGCAGGGAAAGCTCAACATTCACTTTTGAAATGACGAGAGAACAGGCAAGGATATTGTTGATGCCAAATTTTATTTTACAACTGGAATGTTCTACACTAAATTATTAGAAATTAATCACACTATCATTCAAATTTCAAAATGTGACATAACTTAAAGAATAAAAATGTAGATTTACCGTATGTTATTGTTGAGCAGCTCTTACCATGACTGAAATGCTCAACAATTACTTTTCGCAGTGGGTGGTATAAGTAGCTCAAAGCTGCAGTTGAAAATTAGGGACAGCTGATGGTCCTACAAAGTTTAAGTGAACTTCATTGGCTGTATGAACATGAAATTCTTGAAAGCCCATAAATGGTTTATGCATGAGTTTCTCAAAAAATATTAAAGTGGTTTGTGTAAATTGATTCTCAGGTACTGTTGATTAAGTGATTAAAAGTTTTTACTAATCACAATTTATTATGTGTGAAGGAAGCATTGAATACCTTTTTTTCTCATTTGCAGTACAACATAATTCCCAAAGCTGTGTTGTCCTTGAAAGTTTTGGCAGAGTTACCAATCATTGTTGTTCTTATGTATCAGCTTTACAAGCAGAATGTTCATCAGGAGGTAGCAGAATTCATTCCATTAATTATGGTAACAATTACATTGCAACCACCACCTGACCTCAGGTAATTATTGTCGTAGTAGCTCTGTTATTATTATTATTACCCTGTAACTACTGCCTGACTTAAGTAATAACTTAGTGTTTTACAACATTATTACCTAACTTTAGGAGGGGGGGATCTTATTCAAACATGTAACCTTTTGAATGTGATTTGTGCAATTCTTGCTTATTATTGTATATTTTTTCTTCAGATACGTGATAAATTTTTAAAGTTTACAATTTGTTACTGTACACACAATATAGAAATTAACCTTATTTTAAAGGGACTACAGTGAGTATGGGTCAGTGTGGCTCAATAGCTTTGCATTTTGGATTCATAGTTAGATGGTTGCAAGTTCAAGGCTAGCCAGTGTTATGCTATTGTGTCCTTGAGCAAGACACTTTATCCCACTTGTTCCAGTCTACCCAGTTGTATGATGGGTACCAGCTCTTAGCTGGGGGTTAACCTGTGATGGACTGACATCACATCCAGGGGAGATGGATCTCCATTCTCATCCACTTATGCCATTTGAAATCAGAGTTTGAAAGCATTGGCTTTATGTGCCTTGCAAAGACATGGCAAGAATTTAACTTTTTTTAAAATAAAAGTAAGTATGTTTATGATATCTTCAGATATAGTTGCTATGAAATTGAAGACTGATATTAAATATGATTGTAAGTGGAATGGAATCACACTTTAATAATTCTGGTTATTTCTAATAACAATAGTGAATAAAATGGAAAAATGTAACCCTGAATGTTTGTATTAATTGATTGTCACTTCACTTTTTTAGGAATAGTATGGCTCTGAAAGAAGTAATAGTAGATTTTATGGCAGCACAGATCAAAACCCTGTCATTTCTTGCTTATATTGTGAAGATTTATCAGGTATGTTTAAACAAAACGAAATTTATGATGTAATGGCAGTATTAATGCTTCTTCACATTTGAAACATTCTAAATATTTTTAAGATCTAATTTGTAGACAATTCCAATAGCCATATTATCTGTTTCATTCAAGTAAAAAATATACAAATTTTTAATGGCAAGAAAATGCTATAATCACAGGACTAATGTAGTTAGTTATACTAACCCTCTTTGTTGAAATAAATTTTGCAATAAATATACACCATTAAAACAAATAGTATTTATCTTACTATTTGTAAAGCAAAAAACAAATGCAAAGAAACTTCTGCTTGTCTGATGTCTTTTTCTCAGGTGTATTATATTTTAATTTGTTGTCTAATTCTGTCATGCTTGAAGGTGGTAATGTCATGGCATGTTGGATCATTGAGTTATTGAATCTTCCTATTTTCCACCTTCCCTTTATTTTTGGGTCGTTGCTGATACTATTAGCAATCAGCTGTATATTGATAACCTTTTAGAGAGATTATCTAACTTCTCAACTTTTTTAACTCTCATATTTTTTTTAGACTTTCTTCATCAGAGTAATTATAAAGTATCAGTTGCTCTTGTTCTCTTAATTCTTTTAGGCAGGATCCAATATTTAACCTTGCAGTCTTCCTTAGCTGCAGTTCTTATGTATGCAACTTCTATTACTTCACGATTATAATGTAATTTTGATATTTTAGTCCAATGTGCTTTGTTACAAGCTACTTATATTTCCTCTATCCTCTTCTTCTTGTAGTCAATCCTTTCAAGAATACCAGAAAATAATGGTTGAACCCCTTGTCT